CAGCACACAAATCCTTGATTTCAATGGTTACCATGCATGACTGGCTTTGAATTGCTTTATCATCCTCCTTATTCTCCTGAATTACCCCCTTCTATTATCTGTTCCCTAACATTGGAAAAAACACAACACTTGACTGGGAACCTGTATGACAGTGATGATGGCATTTTGACCAACAGGTTGAAAGCTTCTTCACCAATGGCATCAAAGCACTATGACAATAATGGAAGAAGTGTGTGTGTGCCACAAAGAGAACCATGTTGAAAAATAAACCTCATTTGGTCATGTTATATGAGTATCTTGGTTAGCCTATGAACTTTTCAGCTGACCCTTGTAGTTATATATATATATATATATATATATATATATATATATATATATATATAAAACCACTGATGCTCATTAAAACCCTATTCTATATAAAACTTTCATGAAAAAGAAATATGTGCTGTTTAGGCACAGAATCAGAATTCTAGTTTAATCTTTTACTAGATTGTTATTAAATGGTGTCTATAAGATACATCTCCTAGAAACCAATCCCAGAATATTTAAGACAAATAGGTCTAAAATTTGACAAAATACCCAGATTTAATATATTTGTTGCAATCTCAAGTGCCCACAAGTGAAATAGGCAGTGCAGCTACATATTTTTTCTTTTAAATACCTATTTAGCTAACAGAAATTACTTGTTTTAGCATGTTTTTTTTTTGTTTTTTTTACACCTAATACTGTATTGATCCATATAGGTTTTATTTCTCAATCTCCAAAGTAATACATTTTGCCAGATGGAAAACTTATTAAATATATGGGTACTCCAAAACTCATACTAGAGATATTCGAAAAGTTAAAAATAGATTCAAACAGAAATTAAGTATATCAAGTAAAATAAGATTTCCCCGTCAAAAACAAGTTTCTTTGAGTTTGTGTATTGAGGTGTATTGAAATCAGTAGTGAGAATAGCATACGTGATGCCACAGAATATGCACCCACACTATCTTAAATGGTATTTGAATATGAAACCCCTTAAGATAAAGAAAAATATATATGCACCGAAATGAGGTCAATTTTAGCGAATACTGATAAACAGCTAAAATGACAAAGTAGTATGCAGTGGATTTATGAGCCAGGTGGGTCAAACTTGACATTGCACTCTTAAATAGAGAGTGTGCATATGCAGCCAAGGGAGGGAGGATTGTTAACAAACAACCAAATCTCAGAAGTTTTTATACTGTTATTCAGTTATTCCCTGAAACAATGCTTCAGAAAATAACACGAAAACACATATTTCTAACAAACTTGATACCATTAATAATAGCAAAAATCAGTAATTAGACTTGAATTAAGAAACTTATTTAAAATAAGACCCATTTGTTATCCCTTAGCAAAGCTTATGTAAATTGTCTCAATACATGGGTTCTGGTTGATTTTATTGAGTAGGGAAATAAATTTAACAAGTCAGATTTGGTACAGATTCTTAAAAACATTAAATCCTGCTCATGAGAATGACTGAAAATAAAAATACAAAATTAGTCTTAACCAACAAGTAGGCTCTTAGAATTTCAACCTGAAAATGCCAGGAAAAAAAAAAAACAGTAGGAATGTAAAAAGTTTACATTCTGAATTCATATATCGATTGCTTATTCAAGTTACAACATTAAAATCTAACATTTAAGACAGAATACTACCCCCCCCACCCACTATTAAAATTTCCTTTCCTCCATGACATTCAAGTAGGGAGAACTAAGTTGTAAGCATCTACTAATAGAAATGATTCTCCAAGAAGTCTGAAACCCGTTTCATAGTATTAGTTTAAGAAACCTAGTTAAAACTGTCCTTTCCTATTTCAGATTTTAAATGGCAGTAGGCCATGATCTTAAAACTTGTAAAACTGATAAATTTTGCTTATGTGGAAATATTTAGCCAAACTTTGACTTTTGCTTTCAAAGAAACAATTTTAAAAATATCAAATCTAGTTTCTAAAAGAAAACTTTGTAATTAATTTTTCTAAAGCACTATGTTAAAAGAGGACAATTAATTTTCAATAAGTTTCAATTAAACCTAAAAGATAAATTAAATAACTGATCTCTGCAGTCTTAGCTAGTGCTTTGCCAAAGAAAGCAGGATAAAATCCAGGAAAGAATTAAAATGAAATTATGTAAGTTTGTAAATAATCCTCTGCCTAAAGGATAGAGGTAGATTAAATTTTTTAATTCAAAGAGAAAAACAAGGCAAAGTAAGATCCGATTTCAGAATTTTGATAAAAATATAAATATCTAAAATTAATGAAATAGTACAAGTTGAATAAAAAAAAAAAAAAATCCTGACAAAAAGCTAGGTAGATTATAGGTGAATAAAAATTTCATTAGTTTATTTTCAATTTTTATTATGAATGTCAATTGCGATGCCAGAAACATGGAAGTAGAATTATTTTGTAACAATATTTCATTTAAATGTTCTGCACTGAACAAAAAAAAAAAAAAAAAAAAAAAAAAAAAAAATTTCGTAGGAAAAATTGGAAAACAAACCCAAGACAGTTGAATGATTGTAACCCCCCCACTTCCACCTTGAGCTACTCTTCATTCCTCAGTTAAATTTACAGAAATATGAAAGGTTTCTACAAAAGATGGTATTAATGTAATTAATGCATGTATAAAAATGTTTTTATAATGAAGAGTAAAGCTATCTTTCAAAAATGGTAATCATGAACAGGCTGAACTAAATGTGTGACCCATGTTATTAGTGATATCTAATTTTGAGAGTGTTTAAAAAATTGAGTAAGGCCAGTGAAGAGGAGAATATGGATGGAATATCAAATTAGAGCAAAGACTAGCAGAAATGTGAGGATAGGTTTTTTCCTCACAGGTCAGCAATCAGACAAACTGCAGAAGTTTGATAAGGCTTGCACTAGTGACTTTAGTGCCATTTCAGTTGTTTCTTAACTGCTATTAAAAGATTAAGAAATGCAAAAAAATCTCTGAAATCATTTGGTAATGTCAGTTCCTTGTATTTATTGTTTTTTTTGTTTTGTTTTTTCTTTTAAACAGAGTAAAATAATCTAAGGCCACACACACACGCACACACACACAGACTGCAAAGATTGAGGAATTGCTGGTGAAGGTGAGCAGGGAGAGAAAAAGATTTCCAAATCATAGAAAAAATTTAAAAAGATAGAGAAAGAGAGAAAAAGGTAAGATCTTAGAGGGATTCTTTAACATTTTGAAAATTCTTGACAAAAATAATTCCTGAGAAGTTCCACAAAACAGCACCAAAGGAAGAAGTATCATAAAAAAAAAACAAAAACAAAACACTGCTTTAATTAGAGTTTGTGAATTAATGTTAATTATAAGATGACAATTTTCTGATACACTGAGAATTATTTTCATCTGTTGTGGATGAAGTTCAGATTATTGTGCCAGGTTAACTTATAGAAGTAATAAAAAGGTGAAAAAAAAAAAAAAATTCAACAATTATTTAGAGCTAATTTTAAGATGTGTATCCAAACATAAAAATAATCCTTTCAAATTCAAATGGTAAACAAAAATTAAATCTGTGCAGACGATTTTTTTTCTGCGATATCAGCATTCTCTTAAATTTAAATACAAATTGGTGTTTTGCTTTTTAACTTAAAATTTTGTTTTCAGATTAAAACTGATGGTATCAAGATGGAGGCTGATAAGCTAAAAATGTATTTAAGTGATTGTCTCTAGAGAGTTTAACATTCTGGTCTTACTATTTCAACTGCATAGCAAAATACTTCTCATCAGTCACTAAGACTTGATCAAAGGAACCAAAGAAAGCCACAATGCAGTAATGTGTATGTGGTGGAAGTAAAAAAAAGAAAAAAGAAAAAAAAAAAAAAAGAGCCCAATGTTGGTGCTCTTAATGCACAATTCACTTCAAAGAGAATCTATAGATTGGGCATGGAGAAAGTTTCTTAAATGCTATTTTGTGCTAACTTAATCTTACAGTAGCCATGGTATAAAATCTTTATAGAAACATGACCAAATGGCTATAACATAAGATAACAGAATAATCAGTAAAATGAAAGTGATTATTAAAAATTTTGCAGTATCTATTGAAGGATACATTTTCAAGCTTATTTTAGTCTGGCACAAGACAATAGTGGAGCACCCAGTGAGGGTTAAGCATGCTAGCAATGGCAAACAAGACATGCATGCTAATCCACACTCTACAGCAGAGAGTTTTATGTCAGGTGAAAGATGTCAATGGAGTGGAGAAACAATGCAATTGTTATTAAAGTTACAAAACCCCTTCATATTTGCTCCTAGTAGTTAAACAGTGATAGAGAATTGGTGGAGACAGTATAGAAAGGTTAAAATGTTTTTATGTGGTAATATATATGGCCCCCTAATTCACATGATGATGAGGGTGATGATGATGTGTATTAAAAAAGAAATGCTCTGCTAGAGTATGGCATTTTAGAAAACAGCTTACATTTTTACAGGGTCAGTAAATTTATGAAAGGTAACTTCTCACCAAGTTTCATCAAGATTTAAAAAAAGGATTTCTAAGAAAAGAAAAAGGCTGGAGGAGGAATAGAATATGATGAGTGTATGAAGAGGAAAATTAATGCATTTGCATGAGACCCTGCAGCTAAAAACTACTACTACTATCACCAGCAACATTCCTCAAACTAGTGGGAGAGTTTGTGGCCAAATAATTATAGATATATACATGTCCAGCAGCTGCAATGTTCATTTCAGTTTTTCTTATATGTGTATGTTGTGAAGAGGCCAGTGTGAAAGTAGCTGGCCAGCCAGCCAGATAAACAACACACAGATTTGTGTTACAGGAAAAGAAAACCTGTGTAGAGAATGGTACCACCACCATCACTGGTGCTAACTGCTGCAGAAAGTCAGGACGATGAGATCAGCCAATAATGCTGTTGAGAGGATCTGGAGACAATGCTGCTCAGCTGAACTGGAGCACCATTTTTGGAAAGCAAGAAAATGCCACACTCCAGATTAACACATTCACTTGCTTCAGTTGGTATCCATCTGAGAAGAAAAGAAAAGCAAAATCAAATATTTTATACAATAAATATTTCTTGAATTTAAAATAAATTTGATTCGATTTTTATTACATCTGTGTACAATAAAACCATTTTCACCAGCTTATATAGACACTGGGACTCTTTTCCTAAGACAATGGTTCTCAAACTTTTTCTCTGCCTGCATTTTTCAAAATGAAAATTTGCTCAGGCCTTAAATTTTATGTGATAAAAAGTATATTTAAAAATAAAAGAACCGATGGAGGGCTAAAGAGAGATAATTACAACTTAAAAATGCCAATTAAAATTTCAGTTGATTTGACTAAATCTTTAATTTTACAAACATGAATACATTTAAATAAAAATGGTAACCGAGTTGAAAAATATTTCCACTAAATTCTCAAAATAACTATTTCAGAATAAAATTTAATTTATTAATGAACAAATGCAGATATATATTTTTTTTTTTATTGAAATTTAATAATTCCTTAATTTTTGATAATCATGGACTATCTTAAGTGTCTCTAAGTGTGTACTCAGCTGTAAACAGTTTAGTCAGAGCTAAGTATCTAGCCCATAAAAACATAACCTATACAGTTATTTATGACAAACAAATGCAGTTATGTTATTTTGGTTCCCATCTTTGTTGGTTACAAGACAAAAAAAGACACTATACACTGGGAAAACCCACATTTAGAAGTATTAGCACTTCACAAATTCAAAGAGTTCATTTTCTGCAATATATATATATATATATATATATATATACACACACACACACACACACGAGAGAGAGAGAGAAATACACACATATTAGTTTTACATGTATATGAAGCTAAACAATTCATACTGGTTTTTACCATTTTTTAGACGTTTTATTTGCATTTTGTAAACTTAGTAAAAAGAAATTACCTTGTTAAAATTGACAATTATATATTCCTCATAACTATTGAGCTTTTTCAGTTCCTACCTACTCATTGTGCACACCAGATGAAAGCTACCATGGCTGTTTACTAATAAAACACATTATAACCGAACTGAAAATCAGATGCTGATAAAGAATTAAAATGTGGTGAAATTTTACCTGAACACAAAATTGGTTTCTTTTTCTTCACTAAATGTTTGGGAATATTTTAATTCTTTCAAAGTTCATTTTAATTTTTTTTATACTAATTTATATAACACAGGTAATGAAATTAATGTTCATCTTTGAATCTACATTACACAAAGAAATGCTGAAAACTCCAGGATAAAAATTTTAAGAAATTTTTTTTTTTTTTAATAGAAATCTTGGTTGAATAATTTGCAACACATTCATGTGTAAACACAGACACACACGTGAGTGCTAAAAATTTACAACTTGCAGAGTTTATTCAGTGCCTAGTCAGATTCATGAAAGAAAATTTATACCATTTTTCTTCTAGACATCAGTTTAGGCTTTTTAAGCAAAAATAGCTGCAAAATCTGACCTGCTGTTATGTAAAGTAATACACAACTTCAGTGTTGATTAAATAAAATGTACTTACTCTTGCATTGTATGCATCAAGTTGTGCATCCAATTCTTCAGCCGTAGGGGTTTTTCTAGTCTGTCCACCACTGCCACCACCACCACGGCCTCTACCCCCTCGTCCCCTGCCACGCCCTCTGTTGCCACCACTGTTGCCACCACCTACATTCACACCACCACCACCACCACCATATCTGAAATAAAAAGACGTAAAATTCAGAAAATGCTACCCTTTAATTGTTCAATATCATTAGACTAGAAGCATTTAATTTTCTTTTGTTAGAAAATAAATTTCTCAATATTGGGGGGGGGGGCGTGTGTTTGGGAAGGAGAATCAAAATAAATAATGTTGAATAACTGTCTTATTTACACCTCACCATAAACATGCCAGTAATTTGCACAATATTTTAAATTCATAGCACTAGAATCGAGTTAACCACAACGCTGTCACTTGTAGACTCAATAGTCCCCTGCCCAGAGATTTGTCTAATTCAAAGTATTCAGGAACATTTTGAAATAATACAAGTCTGCATACAACTGCTTGCAAGAATTGCAAATGCATTGATACAAGTGAAAATAATCATTATATAATATAGCAGAGATTACATGAAGCAAGGATTGCTATTTTTTCTAAAGGCTACAAAAGATATAAGAACCTAATAACAATGGATAGACATTTTCTTTTAAGATACAAAACACTATCTCCCCAAAATGGTCAACACCACTGGCTATGCATTTTTGTCAACAATAACAAGTACATGGATTCTGCGGGTTGACAGGTATGTATATTTAAAAAAAAAAAAAAAAAAAAAATACTGAAAAGCTTTGACCCAACTAAAAGGGGTAGGTGGAAGAAGAAGAAAAAAAAAAAAAAAAGGAAAGTGGGTCAGATGATGACATTTTCAGCAGCCATATCTGCAATACTAAAACTAATTGTGCATGTGTGTGTTCCCAAGATACAGTAATACATGAACAAATTTAGCATATTGTACCTTGAACTCATGTCAAATGCAGTCCCAAATTTCATTCAAATTAGACAAGGGCTCTTTAGCTACAGCCGTTTTTGTTATGCTATTTTAATAGTAAATTCAGTATTTGCTTTCGAGATATATATATATATATATATATATATATATATATATATATATATATATATATATATATATATATATATATATATATATACACACACACAGTGTGATGGGTAAAATGTCGCCATCTTATACTTTTAATTTCACACATACATTGATTGTGATATCTGCACCATGCAGTAGGATCAGTTGGGCACTGCCTGAGAAAAAAGAGCACCATGACAATTCACTCCACCATATATTTAGGAAGAGCATGCTGTACTGCTTGGCACTTGCGCCAGAAGCACCAATATGAACATTTCAGAGTGGATGCCAATCCAAGGACAGTGCAGAGGATTTGGAAGAGTCTAATAGTGATTGATTATAAAAGTACAGTAGCTCAGAAAACTCACTGTGATCATTCTGATAAGAATTCCCAAAGTTGTTGGTGAGGGGCTCAGTCTCAACACAGAGGCTGACATCAAGTGCCTTGAGGAGGTCGTGCTGTCCTGGGTCAAAAGTGTGGCTGCTGGAAGATTCTAAGTCTGGCAATAGGACTCTGCACCATGCCACACAAGCAGGAGAACCCAGTCATGACTGTCAGACAATTTCTGCAATCACATCATCCCTTACATCTGGCCACCTAACTCCCCAGTCTGCAACCCTCTTAATTATTATGTGGGGTGCAGTTGAGCAAGAGACCAACAAAACTTCTTGTAACACCAAATGATGAAGGCAAGGATAATGGCAACATTCCCTAACTTAAACAAGGAGACTGTCTAGAAGAGTTGCAGGAGATTCCAAAGTCAGCTGGAGGCCAGTGGCAATTTTATTGAATAAATTTATTTTATTTTTAAATATTTTTGTGTAATTTTAGGAAATATATCTGTTAAAATGAGACATCCGTGTTATTTTAATTTTTGTGTAATTTAAACAATTTATCCATTGCACCCTGTACAATATATACACAGAAAATGCTGTACAAAACATTGCACACCTAAAATTTAAAGGGCTTTTCAGGTTTTTTTTACATGTTCATCCGCCCTACAAGAGGTACAAAAACTATTCCCCAGAAACTACAATAGGCAGCCTATGTTATGACTTATCTACCCTTGTTTTTTTTATGCTAATTTTGGTTTAATTCAAAGGATAGCGAAATGCTTTTGAAAGACATTAAAAAAAAAAAAAACACAGAGAATATTACATTGTACCAAAGAATGCACATTCATAAATTGCGTTAAGAGCAAATAAGCTCTCTCTCACACATACACACATCAGAATCACCATTAGAGAAAAAAAAAAAAAAAAAAAAAAACATACGCTGCTCTCCGATTTGAGAGGCCACTAATACCAAGTCTATTTGTTCCATCAGTTGCTGCAGCACCAACTAATTGAATGTTCATTGCTCGACCTGTAACAAAAGTTACAAAACTGGCATTTACAATCAAAGGTTTGTTTGATCAGATAGGAAAAAAAGGAAAAAAAAAAAAAAATCTATGCATAAATCTCGTTTTGTATAAGATTACACAGATTTGGGTAATATACATTTGTAAGCATAGACACAAATATTCAAAAATGATTTATAGTAGTCAAACTTTATTGCATTATTTATAAACAAAACATTTTAAAAAATAACTTCTTCAAAAATCTAAACATAATACATATCTTTTTCTTTTAAATATTAAAAATTTACTTTATTCATTTTTATAGATTTTACAAATTGCACTTTGATTCTATTTGTAGTGTGATTGAACAAAAATTTTATGAGAGGATCTATTGAAAAACAAATCTTAAGTTTCATGACAAATTTCAAGAGCTTAAGGATGAAAACATTTTCCTATCTACATTTTAAAAAGAATAAATAGTTTATATAACTACAAAGCAGGGAAAAAATATTGCACTAGATAACCTATTACTATTTTTCTTCTTAAGTTTAAAATGTATTCTTTTTACATCTCAAACTTTGAAGTTTACATTTTTACTCGAATTACAACAAAAAGTTTGTGTTATATGATTAATGAAAATCTATTCCAATTTAAGAGTGAATCAGTTAAAGTGCAAGTGATCAAAAATAAAAGGAGAAAAATCTGTATTCCATCCACTTACAAGCTTGTATGTTCAAAAGTTAATGATCTTTCATATTTATAAAATAATTTTAGGACAAGACTAAAAAGTAAATAAAATAATTTTTAATCATGTTTTAGTAAACATGAAGGAAAAAAAAAAAAAAAAAAAAAAAAAAAACAGATTCAGGGCAGGTTTTCATGACCACCAGCTGAAGTTTCAAATAAAATTTAAAAATTTAATTTCCACAGAAAAATAAATCATATTTTTATAGCCTCCAAAAATACTGAGATTTCATAAAATTAAATAAAGGAGTGGGAATAATGAATGATTAACTTAAATTTCAAAGTTTTCTTTTTACAAAATCCCCTTTAAGCAAATACACCAAGAGTTTTATTGAAGTCTGACAATTAGTATATTTTTTGGTAATTTCTTAAAAATAGGGTATTTTTTGCATAAAATTTTTTCACATAAATTATTATGTAACACTTTCATACAGTTCAAAGAACTTTTCAAACACATCTCCAGTTCTATCTTTATTCAATATCAAATTTTTTTTCAAAATTTTCTAATAGCACAAAGATTTAAATTTAACTTTGATAATTTTTAGGCAATTTTTTTTTTCAACATATAATATCTTTTGGTCAAACCTGTGTGGAGATACATAACAATACACAAGCATATAACACCCAAAATACCACTTGTAATGCCTCTTAAAATATTTGAAAAGCCATATTAAGTTCAATGTCAAGTTACTTTGATTTATAGCCCCCCCCCCCTTTATTTGCAAATGTATAAACATTTGCAAATAAACAAGGGAGGGGGCTAATCTGTAATTAGCCAAACACCATTTAAAATTTATAATTAGCTTTATTTGTACTCTTACTAATCATTTAATAGATTTCATTTCTTTTCTTCTTTCATCGTTGATATTTTCTTTTTATAATTTGTATTGAACACACAAGCATACAAAAATCGGTTCATTATTGGCGAATGCAAACAGAAAACAAAAACTTATGAAATGAACTCCTTGGTGTTTTGTATATAAATTTATTGTATGCAAATGAACATACACTTTAATAAATTCTGCTGTATTTTGGGGAGGGGGATTATGTGGAGAGATACTGATAGTGTCGTTCAGCTCAGTTTCTTTTGTTGAATAAAGCCTTTCTTAAGGTTATTGCCATCTCATCATTTTGTTTTGAATTGCTTTTAAATTCATAATTTATTCAAAAGAGGGGAAAATTTAACAGGTCTAAAATACTCAAACCACATAGACTGTACCCAGATCACAATGCCTCTAACATTTCTAAGGTTTGGAAGTACTAGAAAAGAATGTTTGAAAATTTCATTCTGGAATGTGGAGAGGAAGCACTGGACAAGTTCTGATCTCTGATAAATTGTGTTTCATCCAAGATGTACAAGTACATCAAAGATTGTATAAATTACGATGAAGCCATCCAAACATTGGACCAACTATATATCAAGACACCTAATGAGATTGCTAGGCATCAGCTTCTGACCAGGTCTCCCTTGAGAATTTTCCTCAGGAACTCCAAAATCTTAGTAAAGATTACAACTATAAGAAAGTCACAGCAGAACAATACATAGAAGAGCAAATCAGAAATACCTTTATAAGTGGGACTTCATCCAATTATATTAGGCAGTAGTTGCTGTAAAATTCAACACTGGATCTATCATTGGCCTTCAATCAAGCATGTGCACTTGATCTTGCCCAAGAAAATTCACAACTTGACTCCCCTACAAGCACTTTGTTGGTCCCAGGTGTAGTAGCTGCTGTTGGTACCAATAATGAATGTTCAGAAGAGAGCCCCACAGTTCTAGCCCTGCTAGAAGTATCTTACCAAAAATAGTACCATTTTGTGGTAACGCAGCACATAATCAGAAAGTCTGTCCTGCTTGTAGTGTCGTTTTAATGGGGCGGCGGCGTTCACCTTTTCAAGGTTTGCCAATTTAAGACCAAATCATCTGCGACGACAGCCATGTTTAATTTTAAACCAAGTTTGTGTGTAATCATAGATATCTATCCCCCAAATCTCTCATATGCAACTACAATGATCACTATAAAAGGCAGACAGTTTACTGCTCTCATAGACTCTTGTAATTCAGAAAACTTTATTATAGAAGACACATTCAATAGATTAAGCCCGAAACTCTACCCACGTAGGAAAAATAAAAAAGGTCTACACAAAAATGTAATCTTCACTCATGGTGGGAACAAAGACAACTTAAGAGTTGAAGATATGCATACTGTGTTCTTGCTGCAGTTAAGGTAAATATACGCTCATTATTTTCCAGTATACCTGTGAATGTCCACACTGCTGCTACCAAATTCCAGCATTTTGGTAAGGATTATCAGGCATTCATTGAGGAAAATTTCTCAGTTACTCTCCAATAACAGCATAGAACCCTGCTACCCAACAGGGAGAGCCCAATTGGTTGTTTCAAAGGACTTTACTAATAAGCACAATAAACGGCTGTGTGTAGATTCCCAAACAGTTAATCTATATACATTGTTGGATGCCTACCCCATGTTTCAGACTGATGATATAATAAACAGTCTGGCAAGTTACAAAGTATTTTTGATTTTTGAATGCCTACCACCAGATCCCAATAATTGAGGCAGATAAAAAGTTTACTGCTTTTGAGGCCATTGGGAAGCTATACCAGTTGCCCTTTAGTAGAACCAATGGGGTCTATGTTTTAAAGGGCAATGGACAAATTTGCAAAAAAAAAAAAAAAAAAAAAAAAAAAAAAAAACTCAACATGTCAACACATGAGAGGTACTTCAATTTTCCCTTGGCGCTCTTCAGCTGGCTCATCATTACAATCATGGCTTGTCCCCAGACTTATATGTCTGAGGAACTTTGTTCAGTCAAGTAAAAATGATAATTTTGTCAATAGGGTGATATTGCTCAATGTAAATCCTACATATACAAATATTAGGTACCCTGATGGACAAGAGTCCACAGTATCTTTTCAAGACCTGGCGCCCTAAATGGGAGAATAAGTATCCCGAATATCCAACATGATTATGAGGATACGGGCAGTCTGGAATGTGGTAATGTTCTACAGAGGTCTTCAAGAACATGAAAAGCACCAACAAAGTATGAAGATGTTATGCGAGTAAAACATTCTTCTCCTTCCTGTAGGAGCGTAAAGTGTTATGAAATGAACTCTCCTTTGGTTTAGTTAGTTTTGTTTTATGGCATATCAACATCAATGGGTTAATGCCAACAAGATTTTTACTGTTGGTAATATTTTTTTTTTTTTAAATTGTATTGCTAGTAATATTTTTTTTCCTCAAAAAGCATACTGAAGGATTTTAAACACAGTTTGGGGGTTAACTATTTGCCCATTGTTGAGGCCCTAACAGGTGCTACCACCCCGGGTCAGAGTAGACCTGGGAACACCAGCAATTAAGAGGTGGTGCCATGCTCCTCAAAGATGCCTGGTTAGAGGCCTTGCTGTTGGATGTAGTTTGTCTTACCCAGGACGCCACTCATCTTTGTTTTTTTGGGATGTAAATTTATTGTATGCAAATGCATATACATTTTCTTTTATAAATTCTGTTGTATCTTAGGGATGGGGATTATGTGGAAAGGCACCAGTAGTATAGTTTGGCTCAATTTCTTTTGTTGAACCTTCAAGGTTATCGCCGTCACGTCTTCTTGCTGTTTTGAATTGCTTTTAAATTCAAAACAAAAGACACCCCACACAATATTAAGATGAAAATTAAGCCGGAAATTGCTTTAGCTTTCAAGTTAGAGTATTCTAATGGTATTACCCTAATAAAAAATCTCCCATTTTCCCCTTACGGGAAAATGCCTATAGATAGGTCAGATTGAATGTCAATGTAAAATTTTAAAAGATGACATTTAAAAATCCTTGAGACATCAACAGTGGAACTCACTCACCATCCAAAGGAACATTGTTGTATTGTTTCATTGCTTTGATAGCATCAGTTCTTCTTTCATAAATAACTTCTGCAGTACCCAAAGATCGACCAGATCTGTCATAATGAACTGCTGCTTTTTTTAAAGGACCAAATTCTGCAAAAAGTTCCTGAAAAAGACATTCCAATATGTACTGTAAATCTTTCAGGTGAATACATAACTGCAACAATGAAAAGCTGTGCTAAGATATGTATTCTTTAATTTAAAACTATTTACAATTGCTTTCAAGTAAGCCTAAGTTGAATCCAAAATCATTGCTTTTTTTTAAAAAAAAAAAAAAAAAAAAAGTCTATTAACATTAATAATCCTTTGAAATCACAATGATTAACAAGATTTCTTTTAATAACAATAGCATATTTCTGATGCCACATTAAAATATGCTTTTACATTTTGTAGGAATTTTATTTAAGAAATTACTCCAATAAACCTTGTCATCCAACCTATCTAGTACAATTATACAATGTATACAGGAACACATTCACCATTAAATAAAACTGCTTAATGTTTATTAAAAAAAACCAAAAAAAAAAAAAACCTAAAAAGCAGCTACTTTCAAACAATGGCAAAGATACTCCAACAATGTATAAGTAATTACTACCAATTTAGTATTATTACTAATTTGTAAAACTAATAAAAATGGCCACCTACCGTTAATAATTCCCAGTGTTACAGTAACTCATTTATGTACTTAAAACTGAAAAGTTTTAGATCAGCATTTTTGCATTGTGTCATATGAATTAGATGAAAACTAATCAGAATTAATCTTTGCCATAGCTTGGCTAAGTTACTGCATATAACACTGTTATAGATTATGTGACTTTCTTTAATTGGCATGAAAGAAAGAAAAAAAAATTATCTAAGCTTATAAGAAGGTATTTTACCCAAACTTTCATCTTGCCGACTACATTTTACAGCTGATACAATTATAAATTGTATGAATTTGAAAAATATTAATGATCAAATAATTTGATACATTATGAACATTTTTTGTCAAACTTTTGATATGAGCTGGTGTTTTATAATTATCAAATTTTTCTTAGATGTTTGTTACATTAAGTAATATCCAGGGACTAAAGGGAATCCTTTTATATAGGGAGGTATATTATTCTCATCCTTCCTTTCTTATACCATCCTATATACTCAGAGGTTACTGAACTATTTTTTTCCTTCTTCACTAAATGATAAGAGTACCGTCAATCCTAATATTTTAGTTAGTAACAATTGTTCACCATAAAAAAAATTGAGTTGCAATCACAGAAACCCTTAATGGACATGAAAGAAAAACAATGAATTTAAAAAAAAGAAAAAGAAAAAAGTCAGATGACAAGACAGGTTCAACACAAGACACTCAACGAGAGCCAGAGAATACAAAATGCAAAGTGCGATAAAACATGAAATACCTTTTATACTTATCCTTTATTCTATAATTTATTGTAATTAAAACTTACTTTGAGGGGATTCATACATCACGAGAAATTAAAAAAAAAAAAAAAAAAAAAACTTATTCTCTAAAATTTATTTTTCTCAACTGTAAGAGTATAAATTATTTTAAATTACTAATCATTTTTATGGATATAAGAGTTTAAGGGGAGTTTATGGCCTAAATTAAACAAGGTTTCTAGATAAAGAAAAACCAAGACAATACCTATAAGTTTATAAGTATTGCTCACCTTGGGAGAAAATACACTAAGAATATTAATCTGTAAAGTAACAAGCAAAAATGTTCATGAGTTTTAGTAATTCAACACGAAATCATGTGTACAAATGAACCAAAGAAACTTATAATACACTGTACAAATTGAGTTATATCACTGAAATAACATACACACACGCACAAATTGCTCTAAAAACAAATGGTTAGTGTTTCATTGCTATCACTATCAAAGTTTTGTGTTACTTTCATGGCAATTGTTCTGATGAACTTTCCTCTGTGGTACTTGGACTTTTTGAATTTAAGAGCTGTACTAAATTGGTGACAAAGTCATCATTTTACAGTTGAAATGGCTAGATGTAACTAAATTCTATGCTAACAGTTTCTTCCAGTTTTTTACTTTCCATTCAACTTTGATCTAAAAAAAAAAAAAAAAAAAAAAATGCAATGTCAATCATTATCATGTCTTAATCCCTGTTCTTTTACTGTTCTCTTAATAGTGCTTTTTTCTCATTCTCTAACACTCAATAACCTCTTGTGTCTAAGTGGCTTTATTGACTTGCTTGGGATGAAATCATAAAAAAAAAAATAAATAAATAAAAAATCCCCACACACAAACTATATTATAGTGAATATAAATTGATATTTAATAACTAGAAAACATGTTCAAAATAAATAATTGGAAACAAAAAGCAACTTACCTGTATGTCTGAATCATTTACACCAAAGTCCAAATTTGATATGAGCAATTTGCCCTGGCCAGCTGTGCTTACTCTGCCCCCGATGACACGTTTTATTGGCCCAGTGGTACCACCATCAAAAAGATCATGTTGCCAGACATCTGGGAGCTCTTTGGGCTATATAAACAAATATTTATAATTATTTTACATAATCAGAAATGAAATCAAAAACAAACAATGTGAATCATCATTAAAATATTTCGGTTATAATCACGTGATGAATGATAGTACACAGAAAAAAAGGTTGGTATTTGACAAAAATCACTTTTTCTTTACTTTGCATATTTTTTAAGTTACATTAGACTAAATTAAAAGCATCAACTATTGAAATTTTTAGACATGTATCAAAATTTGTATTCCTTAAAATGATTTAATGAAAACTAATTTACCATTATGGATCAGTTAGATATAAAATAATTCGTTTTAAGGTTTTCAATTAAACAGATTTTATACTATAAAATCTGTGATCATTGAAATATAAAATTTATAAGGATAATTTAGTTATGTGAAAAGTGGAGTACAAGCAATTGATGACAACAAAGGAAAAAGAACTCTTTAAAAATACTTTGTATAATAAATATAATATAATTTATATTTTCGATCTTAATTTTAAAGTACAAATTAAGTCGAATAGTAAATCAGTACCAAATTTGATTATCTCCCTTGTTTGTTTTTTTATTTTATTTTTTTAATTTCCAACTCTACAACCTAAAAATAAATTAAAGGCAACCCCTTTAAAATAAAAATGAAACTGAGATCATTGCATGTATTTAGTTAAAAAAAAAAAAAAGAAAAACGTGTGTACACGTTCAACAGAAAAGTCTCAGCACAAGATAAAATTTTTTTAGAGAGTAATACGGTTTTGAAAGATTAAATCTGTACTAAATAGAATCTCAAATAAATAAAGAGGAAGAGCATGCATGATGCGTTAACGTTCATCTTCCACCTCCATGCCATCATTGCATGAAAAGCATAAACAGATCAATGCTTCAGAGTTCGATACATTTCCTTGAATATTTTTTTTATTAATGATCACGTTGTTCATATTACCTGCAAATAAATAAAATATAGATTTTTCAAGATCTCCCAAACAGTGCGTTTGTTTATTTCAGTGTTGCTATATTCATGAACAATTATTTTTTTCCTATTTCTTAGTCAAGTGTAACCGTGACGATACACGTGGATAACAACGGATGAAAGAGAGCTAATTTGCTTTTAGACGAAATCCTAAGGGGCGTTATTTATACATTTGTACCCCCTGCAACCACAAATCGCGTGGAAGCTATGTGGTTAAAGGTACATAACAAATCGAAGCAATGAATGGCCTTGTTAAAATCGTGATGTGATGATTAAACAAAGATTATGCGACATCAAACATTCAGATTTTTATCATTTTTTGTATCAAAATGCCATAGATTTACATCCTCTTTTGATATTCATTCTTGAATTCGTAATTAAATTGAAAACACCTAATGATGATTTTCTTGATTGGAAACAAATTTCCAAACGTAAATGCAATTTTAATGCGCGGGAAGTGGATATTTTTGAGGTGGGGAGTGCAAAAGTACAATAGCGCCATCCTAAATTTTTATTTTTAACAAAATTATTACCAAATTAGTAGTGTTAGTTTATCGAATAGACAAAAAAAAAAAAAAAAAAAAAAAAAATTAACTTTCAATAGTTAAATTGAAAGTACTATTTTTTGTTTACAACTTTGAACAAATACCTGCATTTTCAAGTAGTTGATCACAAACAAACAAAAAGAAGCATATACAGAATATTAGGATGCTATAGCTCGGGTCCAGTAGATCAATTTTTCAAACGGATTTCTTGCAAGATTTTGAATCACAAGTTAAAACGATTACTTACTCATCGGATTAATAAAATTATGAACAGGTAAGGTATTGATATTGCTAATTGTTCTTTAGCGAACAAAGCAATTCAGACAAAAAGCATTTACCTTCACTTCAGAAGAAAAAGAATGAAAAAGTTAAATTATTCACTACACGAAATTTGATCAATATTTAATTTTTCAAAAAATTAAATTGTATATAAAAATAAGATTTACTGAATAAAAAAGCTAAAAAAGTTTTAAGCTACCTCAAATTTAAAAAAATGCAATGCGTACGAATTAGTTTTAAAGGGAAAGCATCACAACTAATGATTTACTAACGAAGTGGTTAGTTCACTAAGGTTATTGATCTTTTATTCAAATCTGAAAACGCAAAAATTCTTTTTTATCATAAAAATAAAGTTTTATAACTTATTTTAATTAAAGAGCAGTTGAGCAAAATTATAATTATAATAAAAATGTGTCGATTATACCGATATTTAATGTTTAGTTAGTAGTAGACAACTAAAAAGGAAACCATTTTTATTTTGTTGTACATGACAGCCTGAGTTTTTGCAAAATGCGAAACCAAAAACACCAACTGATAAAATTTATAAACAATCAATTGAAGATAGACATGCAAACCTTAAATACGTGGAGAATATGCATAAATTTAAATAAAATACGGAACAGTTTCCATTAAACAAGGCACGAAGGCGAAAAAAAATAAACGTTATGAAGTAGCGAAAATTTCAAAAGACGTTAAGACATTTCTTGCATCTTTTTATTATATGTAAAATATCTACGTGGCTATCTCGGGTACTAAGTGTAGTAAAAAATATAGCAAAGAATTGTTCCCAAAGCTAAGAATCAGTCTCTATACACGTTACTTACCCTAACGTAAGGTGTGGGTCTGTTAGATCCTCTTCTTTTTTGTATGCCGCCACGATTTCTAAATCCAAATCCACCAGTACCGCCACGAGAAGACCGGCCTCGATTACCAGCGCCTCGAGAGCGACCGGCATTACCACCACGGCCTCCTCCGCCGCGTCTCCTTCCAGTTCCACCACCTTTCTTTTTGTCCAACTTTATAATATCATCAAGACTCATATCTAATTTATCCACGGCCGCCATTTCCGTAACCAAGCCTTTACTCTTTCTTCAAACCTGTCCCTGAAACAACGTGCACACTTTGCAAAAAAAAATGGCGGTTACCGCCTGTGTTGCGTGATGGGAATAATTCCAGTAAACAATTATAATAATAATTTATTTTAAAACAGGGTATAAAATGTAAGCAAATACAGGATTAATAAAATCCTATACAATTAACTTAGTAGTTTTTAAAGTTCAAAAAATAAAATAAAATAAAATCACGTGTGAGTGAGATGTGTTTTCCTTGGGGGGGTGTCAGTTTCAAGAGTCCCTGCCCTTGAACGCTTTATGATCCAATAGTTACCTCCCTTTGCTGTTTAAATTATTGTCAAAGATTCATTTTTTTCCTCCTAAAAATTTTCGTTTTGATATAAATAGATGTATGAATGTGTATTAATGATTAAATAAAAATTATTCATAAGGGATTACTAGTTTATTTATCCTCAATGACATTAAATTTCAATAAGTTATTTTAATTTTTTAAAAAGTCAAATTAAAAATACATATAAAATATTCAAATAATTCAAATTTGATGAGGTGTAGTCAATAAACTGAATTAAGATGGAATCATATACTCTAGAATTGGTGTCTTTCGTCCATATGCATATGCATACGTATGTGTATGGCACTTCGCATGTTAAAATGACCTTGTGTCACATCCAGCCTTGGTGGGGAAGCCAGGTAAATATACTTTGCACAGGTAATGTAATATCATCCCTCAGTTGGGTCTCTGTCTGCAGACAGAAATGCAGCTGGGGAAAAATACTGAGAGGTGCCCAGTTCCTGGGAACAGCTGGGAAATTTTTAGCCCTTTCCTGGGTGTATATGCTTGGATGCCCCACATTAAACCTGACCTTGTGTAACATCACATCACTGTGGAGAGATAGGTAAATGCCAACTTACCTAGCACAGGATTTGTTAATCAATAGCCAGTGAGGGTTTACTGGGGCATGGTTAGTGCTTCTGTGTTGTAAGTGGAGCTATATTTCTCCTTATTTTAGATGGGAGGAGTTGCTCATCCCCAGGGATTCCAACTTCCTCATTGCAGTAATAGAAGTAGGGTCAGTGTAATATTGATGCAAGCAAGACAGTGGTCATGGGGGCTGGACAAAACAAGCATTTTTATCTTTGGCCCATATGCATAGCTATGTGTATGGCTCTCCCCATGTTAAAATGACCTTGTGTCACATCCTGCCTTAGTGAAGAGACTGGGTAAATATACTTGGAATGATAAATCAGAGAGCTGAGTTTAAATTCCAGTGAGTTTTGGACATCCACTTACGTGCAAATACCATTGGGAAAGGTAAGAATCCATCTCTTTTTTTCTCCAACTATGGGTTAAATAGTTAGGACTTGTATCTGGAAAAAAATCATTTTTATCTCCAAAGAATTGTTGATGTAATGTGACTCACCAAAAATATTATTCTTACAAACCAAAATAAGTTCATAAGCCATAAAAATAATTCAATCAACCCTACCATTATTATGTTGTAATATTCAACATTTAATAATTAAAATAACTAGCATGTAATGATTTCATAGGTATAGCAATATAAAAAGAACATCAACTTAAATGGCAAATTCCAGGAAAAAGTTGACAAAAATACAATATAAAATAGGACTAAAATTGACAAATGTAGTAGAAAACAGGTTGTAAGATATAAATAAAGAATTGTCAACAAATCACTGTTGGTTTGAGTAAATTAACAGATTGTGACAGTTATTAGGGAGATGTGATTAACTATACTTTAATATTTAAAAAAAAATTATTCAGTATTATTATTGTTTAGGTAACAGGCATTATAACATAGCCTAAATAGCTATATTATGGAAAGAGGAATTTTTGACACTATACACATTTTTTACGTATTTATGGTTATTTTTTTTAACTTTTATAAAAAATGACATTCTTGTACATGTAATTATGGATAATATTATACATTAATTACTATTTTTTTAATTAATAACTGTTTGTGATCAGTTGTTGACATTAATAGCTATCTGCTAATGTGTCAAAATTTTGGAATAATGCAATAATAAAAATTTTAATTTAATTTCTCTGATACATGTTGCAATCTGTAAAAAAAATGTGTTTGTATCAGATGATAAACAGACAAATATGAGACTTTGCAACAGGTTATGATCAGTCAACTCAAAAATGCTAGCTCATCCACACAAAGGGACACCTTTTACCTAAAGAGGTAAGTTAAGCAGCTAGAGATCAAAAGACTAACCAACAACTGCAATTATATACACTTGTATTTGTTTTCTCCTGTAAACTGTGTAATGACATTTATCTAAAATGAATTATTTTTTTATATATCAGACATATATTCATTTCTACAAAAATTTCAAATAATAAGACAGTGTACTACAAAATGATACATTTACAAGATGTCAAGTCATACCTTTACATACAAAACTTTTTTTTTATTTGCACTATTTACATGCAAACTATTGTCCTAATCTTTGTTTAGTTTTTACAACATTTTTGCCATTATTAGCCAGTCAATCTGGGTAATTTTGAACTGAACTCTTTATTTAAGGGTAAGTTGTTCTTGTTCCACTGGCCATGTCCAAGGATATGTAATCTAGTTCTTATTTTTAATAATGCTCAGTTATTGCTTACCCCATTTCCACTGGGTTCAAGTACACTGCCCAGCCCAGTGAATACACAATTACTACGTCTCCAAATTCCTGAATGCTTTAATCCACTAGGCTGTTGTTCTCTGGGACAATTTGGCATGGAAAACTAGGAGTCTTAAACCTAACCTTCCTGCTGATGAGTGCTGCTGCTGTTTGTCATGCTTGACTGAGTTCACTAAAGCTTCTCTTTCATTACAGCTCCTGCTGCTGCTGTTGATGACCTACAGTCATTTGGTTTTCTTTCTTTATTAGCAGCTTCCATATCGCTATGCAAACATAACATCAGCTTCTGCAGGTGGAAACAGAAAGATCAAAGCATAGAACTTGAAAATTGACATGATCTGATTGCTTTACATCAGGAGCTTATCAGAAAAGATTCAGAAGATCCATAATCCATACAAGATCAGGAAAAAATTCAGAAACAGCTCCATCCTACAGAGAAGTCTCTGCCAAGTCAAGCCTAACAGAACATGACCAAGAACTGTGTTTACCACTTTCTTTGCAGTAGTGTCAAAGAATATAATGGTGAAACAAGCCACCCACTAAAAGTAAGTCTGGAGGAATATCAAAAAGCCATAGTGAGGAGAGAAACAATGAAATCAGGTATGGCTGATCACGTATAGATAGGAAAGCATTATCATTAGCCTCTGTGGAATTAAATAAAAATACTAGAAGAAGAACATTGGAGAGTTAGATGTATGAAATAATCAGTGCTTATGCTAGGCTATGAGAACCTTCTTAGTAGGCATAGCTTAGAAATAAATATGATATGTGAGTCACTAATAAAGAAAGAAAAACAAATAAGAAGCAGCAGCAACACTAATCAGCTGGCAGATTAGGTTTAAAACTCCACGTTCTCCATGCAGAATTGTCCCATGGGACAATAACTTAGTGGATTAATGCAATTGAGAGTTCAATCCCTGGGCCAGTATGTGTAATTTGACTCAGTGGAAACAGTTATAACTGAGCAGTACTAAAAATAAGAACTAGAGAATATATCCTTAAAAACAGGCAATTGAATGAGAACAATCTATTCCCATGTATTAAATAAAGGGTTCAGTTCAAAATTCCCAGTAGGTTATCTAGATTGATATGCACCTGATAAAGGCCACAGCCAAAACGTTATAATAACAACAATAAAGATGCAGACAATTAATCTGCATGTAAACAGTTTAAATAATAATGATAACTGCTAATCCCAGAAATTCAAACAGAAAAATCTTTGTTTTAAGAAACATAAATAAAGTACAGTTTTACATTTTACCATCATTATTCGAAGTTTATTATACAAACTGTAACCATTAATAATTACCAAAACATATAAATATATGCAAGAATTAAGTAATGACTTAAGAAAATTTAGATATCAACTTTAATCTCTTTTAACCAATGAGATATGTTTATTCATTAGAGATTATTTCAAAGTCTTTCTTTGGGGCCACACCAAATTGCTGCATATGTATTCATCTCTGAAATATCTTTATGTAAGCAATATTATGTTTGAATTTCCAACAAGCTAATTTCAGTGAATTACTTGTCTATAATGAGGCAGGATGAACTTTAACATTATCTTTTTTTCTATCATTTCTCCCCAAGCATGGCAATAAAGCCACTAAGACACAGGGGGTTACTGAGTGTTAGATAATATGAGAGAAATGTACTAGTAAGGAGAGAGGACAAAGAAAAAGAAGAAGAATGAAAATGACAATAGATAACAATTGACATTGTGCTTAAATTTTTGAAGGTAGGTCCACTCCTCTAACCATCAAAGAACTAATCAAGACAACTGCCTGCTATGAAGAATGAGAGGTTACATTCTCGCTCTCTCTCTCTCTCTCTCTCTCTCTCTCTCTCTCCATCTTTCTCTCGCTCCCCTTTCTCTCTCTCCTCCTTTCTCTCTCTCTCCATCTTTCTCTCTCTCCCCTTTCTCTCTCTCTCCCCCTTTCTCTTTCTCCCCTTTCTCTCTCTCTCCCCTTTCTCTCTCTCCCCCTTTCTCCCCTTTATCTCTCTCTTTCTCTCCCTTCTCTCTCTCCCCCTTTCTCTCAATTCCAATGCACTGTGAGCTATGAATGTTGTTGCACAAGAAAGAAATAATTTGTATTCATAAAAAAGAAAACAAAATTTTGAAAACAACATTCAGTCAGTGTTCATTAATTTTGAACAGAAAAAAAACAACATTCTGCACCAACCTCCACAGGATTAACAGATTTCTTCATAGTGTTTACAACCCCACTGTTCATATACATATACATACACCTACACACACTCACATACATCAATAATACTTATGAACTTCTCAACACACATCAATGTGGGGATGCAAATATTTACAACCC